TAATGACAGTTGATGGAAAAGCATTTCCTATGTCTTAGATTTATGACGCAAATTTTAGCTACAAGAATAATTAGTAAATACAAAAGTACAGTACAGTTAGACCTGGCAAAAATTAACCCGACCCGTGAACCCGACCAAAACCCGACCTGTAAAAACGGGTTAGGGTTTACATATCTTAACCCGTGACCCGTTGACAACCCGAAAAATTGACCCGAAAAGATCACGGGTCATGGATGGGTTAACCCGCGGGTTAACGGGTTAACCCGTTAACCCCTTTTAAGAAAAAAAATAATCTTAAATATTAATTTTTAAAAACTCATTTATTATTAATTAACAATTCATTTTCCCCAAAATTCCTAATCCCTAGTTTCATGTTCATTACTCCAGCCACCAGGAGAACCACGCACAACGGCACAACACAACTCAGAAACTCTACATCTTCCAAACTTCCACTCATGATTCTCCTTCAAACTCTACATCTTCCACCTCAGTTATCTAGTTCCAATATTCATTGCTCCATGTTTCCCACGCCAAAGCCAAACTCTACATCTTCCTCTTCCCCTCTTGCTTCTGCAGTGCTGGAGTCGGTTCACTCATCTAAATCAATTCACCACCTATTTGCTTTAATTTCTTCTCTCCCTGTAAACATTATCACCTTCTTTGTTCTCTCAAACCACTTCCCTTTGCAATTGAGGTATGGGTTTCAAATCTTTCAAATATATCTTATTTTTTTCTTGTTATAGATTTTGTATATCTAATTTTCATTTTAATAATGCTCAATAAGCTAAATTCTCTTTATAAGTCACTTTTTATAATTGTTTTGAGATGTATTTTCATGTTTTTGTTGAATACTTAGTAAATTTCAATATCCTAAGTCCTGATTTTAAATCCCCAAAGTCCCAATTTCATGTTTTATTTTTCTATATTATTCACTCATGGTATTTGTATTAAGATGAATTTTTCATGTTTAGTTGAATACTTAGTAAATTAAATCAAAGGATCATTCTAAATAAACCTAAGATCATATCACTTGAACACTGTGACAAGTATTAGAAATTCATAAAAATGATCAAATTGCAGGAAATACCGCATAAAAAGCCTCTAACTTTGAATTGTTCTGCAATATTTTGAGCACTGTCCTATAGGTCTCCCAAAGAAACTTGAACCATGGGGTAACAAGTTCACGATCAAACTGTTGAGATTACAATATCAATAGCCAAGTCCCTATTTCATTTTATTTTATTTCACTTAGTTTCTTTGGAAATTCTATGCTATTTTAATCTAAAAATGTGATTATATTTTATTGGGTTTTCATCCATTTTTATTTGATTCTATTTCACTTGCTTATGTTATTGGTTATATTTGTGGTTTTTTATGTCTCATCTTTCTTTTAGTTTATGAATTAAGATTATTAGTTTTTACTTGTTTTGTGGTTCAAATTAACCCCTTTGTTTATTTTTTTTAGTACTTGCATATTCTGTGGAAAATGAAAAGGAAGCAAAGTCAGGGTAATGGCAATCCATCTCAAATACCAGCAACAAAACAAGGCACACCACCACCATCACAACCAGAAATAGAAACAGTCATGGATCTTATTCATGGTAATGCTAAATTTCAAGAAATTTAAGTAAAATTAATTGATTTAAATTTGTATTTTGGATGTAATCTAATTTTCTAATAATTACTTTAAATTATATTTGTAGTGGGTGAGGACAATGAAAATAACAGAGCTATATCTTCTGATCTTGAGAAAAATGAAGTTGCCCCATTTTCAAAGAAGAAGAAGAAATCTAAAGTTTGGGATGATTTTCAATTGATTGAAGCACATTTGAATGATGATGGTTTGGAAAGAGGTAAATGTAAATATTGTGGTACTACCTACATTTGTGAAGGAAAGTATGGAACTTCTAACATGAAAAGGCATCTGTCAAAATGTTTTGCACGTGTGAATAGAAATCCTGTGCAAATGATGTTAAGTAACTCTGGAAAATTGGTTAGAAAAATTGATCAAGAAACTTTTAAGGAGTTGTGTGCACTGGTAGTAATAGAGCATTCATATCCTTTTTCATGGGTTGAGCATAAGGCTGTTAGATCATTAATGAAGTACCTAAATGAGGATGTGAAGCCAATTTGTAGAAATACTGTGAAAAATTGTTGCTTGAAAATTCATCAGAGGGAGAGAGATAGAATTAAGCAGTTGCTGAAAAAAGTTTCAAGAAGAATATGTTTAACATGTGACATGTGGACTTCTGCATTTACTCAAGGTTACCTTTGTTTGACTGCTCACTTTCTTGGTGATGAATGGAATTTACATAGCTTGATTTTGAATTTTCTGCATGTCCCACCTCCACACACAGCTAGAATTCTGTTTAAACAAGTGTATGAGCTGCTAAAGGAGTGGAGCATTGAAAGTAAAATATTTTCAATCACTTTAGACAATGCTAGGTGTAATGATAACATGCAAGAAGCTTTGCGTAATCAGCTCAATCTTGAAAGGCCATTGTTGTCAAGTGGAGATTATTTTCATATTCGATGTTCTGCTCATATTTTGAATTTAATTGTGCAAGAAGGATTGAAAGTGATTGATGATAGTGTTAGAAAATTGAGGGATGGGATAAAGTATATAACTGCCACTGAGGGAAGGATGTTAAATTTTGAAGAATGTGCTAAACGAGCTAGTTGTGATTTAAGCAAGGGATTATGGTTAGATTGTCGATTATGGTTAGATTGTCCTACTAGGTGGAATTCCACACATAAAATGCTTGAGAGGGCAGTGATCTATAAAGATGTTTTTGCTTCTTTTGAATTGGATGATGAAAATTTTAAATGGACCTTGGATGAAGAAGAATGGAAGCGAGTTGGTAGAATTTGTGAACTTTTACAGCCTTTTAGTGAAATCAGCACTTTGTTTTCTGGTTCGAAATATCCAACATCAAATTTATACTTTAAGCATGTTTGGAAGATTGAGTTATGCTTGTTGGAGAATATCAAGTGTGGGGATATCTATATCAGAGACATGGCAACCAGCATGAAGGCTAAATTTGAGAAGTACTGGGATTCTTATAGCCTTATTCTTGCTTTTGCCATAATTTTGGATCCTCGTTATAAGTTATCTTTTGTAACATATTGTTACAAGATACTAAATGAGGAAACATACACTGCCAAGGTCAATCATGTTACGGATAAATTGTATCAACTTTACAATGAATATGTAATGGAGGGCAGCAAGTTGGAAAGTACAAATAATGCCACAATGCCTACAACTACTGTGACTGAAGTTGTTGGTAATAAAGATCGATTAATGGAGGTAATAATTGTTTTGTTTCTAAACTTTCTTCAATTTTCTCAAACTATTTTAACTTAATTCATTTTACTCTAATTAATTTGTTTTTTCTTACCTTTATGTAGGGCTTTGAAAATTTTGATATGGAAAAAGTGCACACCTCTCAATTACGTCAATACTTGGAGGAAGGTAGGCAACCACACCGACAACCTTTAGATATCCTTGAGTTTTGGAAACAAAATGAAAGGCGTCTTCCAGACTTGGCTAGAATGGCAAGAGACATTCTCTCTATCCCAATTACAACTGTAGCTAGTGAATCTGCTTTCAGCATGGGTGGGCATGTCTTGACAAAATTAAGAGGTTCTCTTTTACCAGAAAATGCAGAGGCTTTGATAACAACCCGCACTTGGTTGAATGGATTTCAAAAGGAAGGTAACATGAAGGTTTTTAATATTTAAATTTTACTATTTTTGTCTTAGCATTTGCCATATATCTCATTGATTATGTGATTTGAATCTGTCATTTTTCAATTGATTGGCTGCAATTGAACTATTTAATTCTTGAATTTTTTTTTGTTTGGTATTTCTAGAAAAGAAAGATATATTCTCCTCAATTTTTCCACCTCTATAGAACATTGTTGTCATGCACATGGGATTGGTATAAAGAAAAGATAAAAATAAAATGAATTAAGTTGAAGTAGTGATTAATCATAATTCATGAATATTTATATGGTTTTATATGGTTTTCGATTAAATTAAAATAGTAGCTAATCTGCCCTTTTTCTTTTTTTTAATGGATGAACCTTATTTTGGGATATGCTTTTAAAATTGTTTTGAGTGTTTGTTCATCATGAATTAGGTGACAACACTGCTACTGGTCATGCTGAAGATGAGGTGCTGGGATATGAATATCAAGTTAGTGGATGTTCTGCTGTTGCTAATAACTAGTGAGCTTGGAATGGAAATATTATCTTAAGGAGAAGTTTCAACACTTGGATTAGAGATTATGTGGTTTCAAACTAGTGACTTCAAAGTTCAAACTTAATATTTCATGAAATTTTAATAATTTTAGTTTGGTACTGTTATTTTTTGTTTCTTGAATGACAATTTGGTATTGTTAGATAAAGTATTGTTATGACTTGTGATATTATGACTTATGATATTATGACTTATTTGACTTATGATTTTACTTTAATTTAAAGACTTATGATGTTAGAATTTATGATATTATGCTTTATGATCTTACTGTAATTCGAATATTGTGTTACCCGTGTCGACACATAATTTTGGTGTCGACACCATATGGTAAGCTTCCAAACTCCGACACGGACGTGGTGTTGACACATAATTTTGGTGTCAACACCATATGATAAACATCCAAAACTCCGACACGGACGTGGTGTTGACACATAATTCAGGTGTCGACACCATACGGAAGGGCTATTCCACTAATGTAATATGATATTTGTGGGTTTGGGGTACCCTTGTATTTTGTTTATTAATAAATATTATTTTTACTGTTCAAAAATAAAAAAACAAGATGCAATACTTGATATTTGAGATTGCTTTTTTTTTTTTTTATCTATCAAAATATGATTTTATCTTATATATTACATATGCAGCATGTGCTGTATATATAATCTTAGGGAAATAATATATTAATAAGTTAGAAATTATAGCTCGAATTGTGATAAATGAAAAAATATCAACCCGCAGGTTAACCCGTAACCCGCAAAGGTCGGGTTAGGGTTGGGCTTCATCAACCCGTGACCCGTTAGTGACCCAACCCGTATAACCCGCAACCCGTGCTGACCCAACCCGAACCCGACCCAACCCGCCCGTTTGCCAGGTCTAAGGTTGTGTGATGCTATTGCCTTCAAAGTTCATTCTTATCTTATTATCTAATAACATCTACATCAATTTCACACCTCTTTCTAAAGCAAATGTGATTAGTCTCATTGACTACCACATATTACTCTTCTTTATATGCAACATAACATATGATAGTAAAAATAAAAAATTTTATTCATTAAAATCAACCATGACTATGTAAGCATTCAAGTGCATGACATACACTTGCACATAATCAAATATCATCAAAATCATCCATCACAAAGCAAACATACAAATTTCCTAATATACTTAACTTCCAAGTGTAAGACTCTTCCTAAAGTCGTGCGTAACTTCCAAGTGCTATTATCAAAATTATGAAAATAATGAGACAAGTAAATTTAAATGAGACAAACCATGTAAAGTAAGACAAGTTATTAAAATTACTCATTTAAAATGACACATATGACATTGAAAGTCACCTATACCATCAAGAGCTCATTATGAACTATATATGATAAATAATGAATCTAATCATTCACACATGTCAAGTAAGCAAATATGATACAAGTAATATCTATAGCAATCAACAAGGTTGTATCAATACTAGAAAAGACACATCAAATGAAATCATACTCAACAAATATATGTATCAAAGAGTGAGTACACAAACAAATAATTAATAGTCATGTTAATGTAATTATACTCAATGAATAAATGCAATAAAATAAATAATACCAATTTGAGCACAATAGTGGAGCATTCAAAAACAACTTTTTCTTTGCACTTTCACTCCAACATTCTTGTTGAGGCATAAATCTTTATCAAGATCAACTTTGCTTTTCTTATGACTTTGCCATCAACTTTACCTACAAAACAAAATTAAGTTTTGATTTTTGGTACCCAAATTTGCTTGTGTCCTTGGAATTTAGTACTTAAAGTTCCTTTCGGAACCCAAATTTGCCTCACAAATTTGCCTCACTTTACCTTGAGCTATTAATCTCTTCAAAAGACATACATAAGCAAGGTGTCCCTTTGTACCACAACAATAACAAGTAACTTTAGGATTAGAAAATTGACTTATCCTCACAAAGAAGTTCTTAAAAGTCTTTTGCTTTTTAGAATAATCAAATCCAATACCCCCGTTGTCATAAACACTTATTTGAGATTTTAAGATATAATCAAATTTTTTTTTACTCAAAGTGAATTTGGAAATCACATTCTCAAGATCACAAACTTTCTTTTTCAAATTCTCATTTTCCTCTTTCAAAGCATTATTAGATTCTTCATCTTTCAAAGATGCAATCTCAACATTTAAAGAGGCATTTTCTTTAACTAAAACCTCATTTTGTTTTGAAAGAGATTCAATCTCATTTTTAAGCAATGAAATGGTTTTATTAAGAGCAAGATTTTCATTCCCTAGTTTCTTGATATCATTCATAGAGCAATTAAGAACTTTGCATAAATCATCATAAGAATACTCAAAAGAACTCTCATTAATTGAACTAGAGAAGTTAGAGTTTACCTCCTTATCATTGTAGCTATCCTCTTGAGCCATGAAGCAAAGAATTGCAACACATTCTCCAAGGAGCTTTCACTTTTTGTTGAGCTAGTCTCATCATTGCTCCAAGTGGCGGTAAAAGCTTTCTTCTTCATGCACTTATTGTTTTTCCTTTCACCCTTCTTCAATTGAGGGCATTCATTTCTATAATGCCCCATCTTGTTGCACTCATAGCATTTGATATGCTTCTTAGTTGGTTTTCCTCTATCATCATCATCACTACATATTATTCCTCTAGAATAGTGAATTTCCTTGTTTCTTCTAAAGGATTTCCCTTTGAGGCTCTTCTTCATGTATTTCTTCACTTCCTTTGAAACCAATTTGGTGATGTCCTCCTCATCGCTAGACTCATCATTACTAGCATCATCTTCACTCTCTTCCTTTTGGTTGTTGGCCTTGAATACAACATTCTTCTTCTTCTCAACTACTTTAACTCCACCATCAACTTGAATATCCATCTCATATGTCATCAATTTTCCAATGAGATCATCAAGCTTGAGGGTGTTGAGATCCTTAGACTCTTCAATTGCGGTCTTCTTGGCTTCCCAATTCTTAGGCAAGCTTCTAAGAACCTTCCTTACCACTTTTTGAGAAGAATAAACTTTACCAAGAGCCTTGAGATTTGTGACTATATCATTCAACCTTATATACATATCTTGACTGCTTTCCTCCGGTTTCATCTTAAAAGCTCATACATGTGAATGAGTCTATTGATTTTTGACTCTTTCACTTGGCTTATTCCTTCATGTGTTACTTCTAACTTGTCCCACATTTCCTTAGCCGTATCACACCTAGAAACTCTATGGAATTCTGTTGGATTGAGAGCACATTGAAGCATGTTGATTGCTTTGTTATTGATCATGATCTTCCCCAAGTCTTCATCATTCCATTCAACTTCTTCCTTTGGCACCTCATTTTCTCCAACAACTTTCATAGGCACATATGGATCTTTCATAGTCACAATCCATGCCCTAAGCTCATTTGCAAGGATGTAGACCTTCATCATATTCTTCCAATAATTATAATTAGCACCATCAAAGAAAGGAGGCTTAGTGGTGGACAAACCTTCAAGTGGTTGAGAAGCTTGAAATTGAGCTATCCCCAATCAACTCCTAGGTGGTTAAACCTTCAAATTGGAGCCCTTGCTCTGATACCAATTATTGGCTCAATGCACTCCAAGATGGGGGGTGAATTGGAGTTGGAAAATTTTCTTCTCTTTACAACCACCAAACAAAAATTAAAGAGAAAGTAGGGAAGAAGAGCTTGCACAATGATTTTGTAGAGGTTTGGTCCAACCACTTGGATCCTAATCCTCTACCTTGGCTTCACTCACTAAGGATTTCCTCCATACTCTCCACTAAGAAAAACAATGGTGGCTTAAAGGAGCTACTTAATCCTTCTACAAGAAGAAGGGTGTTTTTCTCAAATCTCACCCCTTTACAAGATAAACCCCAAGAATCCTCTCTACAAATCACTCTTGAAAGAATAATCACACCCCCAAGATAACACACAAGTAAAACAAGAAGAGGATTACAAGCACAGATCATTGAAAGATCAAATACTCAAGTAAAAGCACAAGTTGGTAGGTAGAGATATTCAATACAAAGCTCTTCAAACTTGTTCCAGATCTGCTACCAACCATATTTATAACCACTTGCTCGAAAATAGCCGTTTCTAGCCGTTGAGGGTCATTTAATGCTCTACAGGACGTGTAATTTGGAATTGTAAAATTGTTAGCACATCCGGCTTATATTTCTAAAGCTGGCTCCACGGCCAACTTAAAAAAATGCAGCCGACTTTGCAGGTTTCCTGCACATTCTGTTTTTCTCGAGAGCCGACTACAAAAATGAAAAGTCAGCTTTGGGATTCTGACTTTAAAGACATTAAATAATCCTTAAATAACTCGACCGTTGTGCATTAAATACACCCTCACAGCTAGCTACAAAGTCAAAGCTGGCTTTGCGTTTAGTTTTTACGTGTGCCAAACAATGGACTTGAAATTTTCACCCGTAGAGTTGGCTGTAGCTTCTAGAGCCAGTTCTTTGCAATTTTACCTTCCAGAGCAAGCTGTAGATTTCTTCAAGCTAGCTCTTTGCACATTATCTAGCCTCTTTGGTTCTTTTTAGTGCAATCTTAGTTTACTTACTTTGCAACCTTAGATTACTTACTTTGCAATCTTTTAACAATTTAACTACACACTTAAATGAATCAATTAGTCACTCAAATGTATTTTGTAATCATAAAAATCATAAGTACAACATAAGTAACTTATAGGTTTATACTTATATACTTGTTGAATAATATTTCGTTTTAAATTTTTTTTCAAATTAAAATGTAATAAAATATTATTTACTTTCAATCTAAACTTAAATATAATATAAAATAATAATAAAGAACTAAAATTTGGTTTCATATCTAGATCTCATATCTACATAGTATTAGAAAACTAAACTCCATTAAATAATTAACAATAAAAAACAAAGAATATGTACCAAAAAATAAAGAATGAAAATAAATTAAATAACAAAATGAAAATAAATTAAATAACAAAATGAAAAAGAAGATGTCCAAGTTTTTGAGCTCATAGTCCACCTAATCTTCTACTTCAATTTGTTAAAAAGGGATTGTGACTGATGGTACCATATTTATTTTAACATCCTAATATTCATGTTTTTAATTTATCATTCTTATCATGTTAAATTTAGAGTTTGAAATTAAAAAATTATCTATATAATATATAAAGATTATGACTTGAAAACTATTAATAAAAATGTAAAAAAAAATTAAAAAGAATCAAACTTTGAAGTTATAAGTGCTTACTGTCGCCTAAAAGTGAAAGGAAAGGAAAAAGTTGTTGGCTACATGTGTGATATGTGTATGGTTTAGGGTTTATTATTTATATGTTGCATGTGTAATTTCTTTTATTTCTATTTTTGTATTTTATTATTTTTAGTTTTAAAAATTATTGTTATTATATAGATTTTAAGTATAATAAGTATATATAAAATTTTAATTATATAAGTATAGGTAATATGCTAGTTAAATAAAACGATTAAACAAATCGAGTAAATAGTTCAAAATCCTTATATTTGTTACTTGAGTTGATATTTATAAATTTACTATTTTTATACTCATTACTTACTTAATTTTTTTACAATTCAGGTAAAATATTTACCAAATCAAGTAAAGTACTTACAAATAAGAGATATATCCGTACCCAATGCTCACTTCTCGTTTAATAAGCTGCAAAATCATGGGCTAAAATGTGGGCTTTATGTGGGCTTAATCCAACAAGTATTCGGCCATTTCTCCTTTTATGTGATAGCAAAGGAGTCAATACCGTACCGTACCGGCCGATACGGCAGGTACGTACCGGTTTTGAAGGTTAACCGAAACGGAATAAGTTAAGATTTCGTTTTGGTCAAATTTCAGGTGTACCGGTCAAATTTCGGTGTACCGGCCGAAATTTCGGGTACCGGCCGGTACATCGAAATTTGACCGGTACATTATGCAAGAAGGAAAAAAAAAAAAAAAAAGAATCCCCAGCCAAAACAACGTCGTTTTGGCTGGGGGGTGGCAGCAGGATACCCAGGCGGTATCCCGATCAAGCCTGCCGTCGTCTCGGAACCAGCAGGGGAGCCGCGATGGGCGTTAGATTTGGCAGCCCTCGCGCGCGCCGCCACAGATCTGCCGGAGGAGAAAGAAGGCCGCCGGATCTGCACCGAATAGAGCAAAAAACAACAAACAAACAAAGCAAACCAACATATAAACAAACAAACCAAAAAAACCCACACAAAACAAAAAACAAAGCCAGATCTGCATGGGGATGGTGAAGATTCGAGGTGAAAGAACGGAGGTGATGGTGGCGATGGTGGCGATGGTGGATCTGCAGAAAGGAGAAAAATCAAGGTTTTTTTTTCTGTTTTCTCCTTTTTTTTTTCTTTTTTTTTTTGGGTTTGGCTGCTTTGGCAGCCGCACCG